GTTATTGGATTGGTTGATGTGGGGTTGTTATTAGGTGGATTAGAGTAGGTTTGTCATTGGATGGATGGAGGTGGGTTTGTCATTGGATGAGCAGATGTGGGTTTGTCAATGCATGAGTAGATGTGGGTTTGTCATTGGATTGGTTGATGTGGGTTTGTCATTGGATTGGTTGATGTGGGTTTGTCATTGGATTGGTTGATGTTTGTCATTAGGTGGATGAGAGTAGGTTTGTCATTGGATGGATGGAGGTGGGCTTGTCATTGGATGAGTAGATGTGGGTTTGTCAATGCATGAGTAGATGTGGGTTTGTCATTGGATTGGTTGATGTGGGTTTGTCATTGGATTGGTTGATGTTTGTTTGTCATTGGATGGATGGAGGTGGGTTTGTCATTGGATGAGTGGATAAAATTTCAGTAACTTTCAATGCTGTCCTCTATAGTTGTCATTTAACTTGTTTTGTTGTGTATAATTCAAGTTCTGTTTAGTTTTACCATTTCAAGAGTGATGAGTGTTATAGTAAACTCTGAATGAATGACAAGGTGGTAAATTGATTATGATCTTGCTGATTTTTCAGTGTCATGTAGTGCTCCCTCACCAATGAGGTTACTGCTGAGGTTACCTATTTACATTACTATTACTTCTAAACCTACGGTACTTAGAATTCAACAATATGAATAATACACTGTACTTTATCAACATAACAGCACCTGTTTTATCATCACCAAGTGAATCTGTACTTGCCTTAATTGCTATCTTCCTTTATATCATTACGGCAAAGTTAGAACTCGTACAACTTAGAGAATGTACAACATACTTGTTATACAGGAACTAAGCAGAGAACCTCTCCAGTCCCCCCCCCCCTCGTTTCACACACACACACACATATGCTGTGACTTTATTGATGTATAAGTGTTACAGTCAAAATGTCACACATACAATGTATGCACTTATGCATGTGTCATATGACATTCTGTCCCCAAGTGTTATATCAAACCATGTTATAAGACAATGCTGCAACAGGACTAAAGATTAGTGAATCATTTATTTAAAGATGACCATAATACTGCGACTTCCTTCTGATAACTGCTTTATCTATTTTTGCTAATATTATATGGGGACATGTCTCACAGTATATTTGCATAGTCTCTTTTTTATTTTTTGGTGTTTTTTCAATAAAATAAAATATCATGGGAGTGTGTTGATGGTGAAAGCTGGGTTACCGCGAAATAAACAATATTTCACGGTAACCCAACTTTCACTATTTATATTATATTAGCATATTTTATTTTATTAAAAAAACAAAACAAAAAAATAAATAAGAGACTGTCAAGTCTAGTCTCATAGCTACTTGATTTGTGAACAAAATTTCAAATCTCTATTTGTAGGAAATAGTCTTTATGACTTCTTGAAAACAACTAGCCCAATTATTTGAGATATTTATGGACTGAACACACAATTGATATCAAATATGCTCAGTTTTCCATTCCCACCACTGACCCATTAATGTTATGGATACAGTGAAACATTTTGTGCACCATAATTCTTTTCAAGTATTTTTGTATGATATTATAGATAATTCTAGACTAAGTGCACATAAGTTCATATTGGCTACACACTTGATCAAAACTTGGGAAAAAAATAATTATGCTGGGTTTATTTTGTGATATTGACCCAAATTAACTTTGGTGTTCAAAGGATTCAAAGGATTCGCCGAATCATGGTAACAACATCACGTTATTGTGTATTCAAGGGTTGAAGCAGAAGGGTGGTCACCTGCACACGCGTATGTGCAAAGTCCCAAGCGACAATAACAACACACGCTAACAACGCAAAGGCTCATGGGTAGACACTTGTTTGTAAACAATGACACACTATGCGCAGGTGACGAATCCCCCGCTTTAATCTTTCAAGAACATACTACACAACACATCACATGAACTCTAAATCATATTTATTTACTTGATAACAATTATCAAAATTAAAAATCTCTTGATTAATTTTACAATTTCCATCTTCAAAATATTTTAAACATCATCTGAGCTTTTTATCTTTCAAGTAAAACAATTCCATAATCAGTAAAATAAAAGTAAAGACAATATCAGCTATTGCATTGCACTAATAATATGTGTATGAATTACACAAATTTGAGCTTTTTTTTTTTCCTAATATTCTCCCATGTGCTATGAGTTGTAACTCATACAGTATAAAAATCTAAAAACGGTGAAAAATGGAATAATAATAATAATATATAAATTCTTTGTGAAATACTATTATATATAAAGAAACTAAAAATAAAGTAATAATAACTACATGCAGACTGTACAGGATATATGGTTTTTTTAGCACTTTAAACATTTTATAATTAGGCCAAACAAAAAATAGGTTTTGCTTTTCGTCTTCATTCACATCAACCTGTATCCATTTTTTTGCAATTTTGTTTAAAGTATGCCAAGTAGAACAGAGAAATGTTTGTTTTCTGTTTCAGAGGACATTTTGTTGATCAAAATTCAAAGCATTATATCAAATAACGCATATCTTCTTCTTGTGACATTAAATAATCTCAATACTAAAAAAAAAAATTTAAAACCACTTTACAGCATAATTTTTCCAATTTTCCCCAACAATGTAGAGAAGCAAAACCTTACTTTGGCTTTTACTAAAAAGCATTCTTATAATTTATAACTGCTTATAATGCAACACCATAAAATATGCCTGATATTCAAAATGAAATGTAAATATGATGAGAAATGGGGGTGGGGAGGGAAGGGGGGGTTGTAATTCCCACAAATGACCAACCAAATTAGTACACTTAAGCATGTCTATAATAGTAGACAAATGGAATGGTCTACAATGGCTGCACCCCCAACATATAAATGGAATGGTCTACAATGGCTGCACCCCCAACATATAAATGGAATGGTCTACAATGACTGCAATAATCCATCATAATAGTATACAGAATAAAATCACTAAACAATCATAAAATAAATCACTGAATGACAAAGATAACTTCCTTCTTACTCACTGATTCTACCCCCACCCATTATAATAAAACAGACTTTGCAATGTTCATTGCCTTGCCTTGGAATAATCCATTATGTAATAGGAGACACAGGAATGTGGTGCAGGGTGAATGGAATGATTCAGGTCTGCGTGTAATCACAACTATCATTGGAAGAAAAACCAAATACAATATATACAAGATTTAAAAAAAAAAAACTTTCAAAAAACAATGGCAGCATTTGAATAATCTTTGCATTACATAATTATTTATTAGATTTAATCAACAACTTTTCAAATATAACTTTTAAGTAACAATATGAAAAAGACTTGCATAGTACACGGTCCCTCTATGATAGATGGAGTGTGCATAGTATAAATAAGAAGTGCATATCTAAAGTACATATACAGCACTAAACTTTTGTAGAGACTACCCTGTTCTAATAATATATTCTACTGGTCTTTAATTCTGAAATTATACAATTATGTCATCACCGTAATATGAAATAGGGTTTTGTAATTACAATGTCATGGATGCTATGAACTCCCAGCATGCACTGCAGTCTTTCAATAAAAACATTCTGCTCACAAATCAAATGTTCACTTGCCTGAAGAGGGCGCTCTTCAATGCTGGCATTACCCGTACCCTGATTCCACAACTTTCACAGGTGGCAGCCTAAACGGTTCGCTCGTTGTGAGTTAGGCTGTGTCTACGAAGATCGCAGTTACGACGAAAGACTTTACCGCAGTGTTCACAGTTATATGGTTTGATGTCAGTGTGGGTTAACAGATGGGTCTTTAGATTGCTACGCTGGTTAAAGGTACGACCACATGTTGGGCACTTATGAGGAGACTCTTGCATGTGAAGAGTCTTGTGTACTGCTAAGGTACGTGATTGACAGAATCCTTTGCCACATTCTTGACACTTGAAAGGCTTCTCCTTAGAGTGGATATATCTATGGGAAAGGTAACGATAAAATTGTTACTTTGCTTAAATAAAAATGTAATTTATTTTAATAATTTAACTAAAACCTAACACCAGTAGTTTTTCATATTCAATAACTGAGTTAGAGGCCTTAACAAACTAGCATGAAAACTGAATCCAGATATTCAGAACACTAATGTTTCATTTTACCAAACTAATCCGGGACACACAGAGTCTCCATGGAAACTACAGCCATCACAAACCGTAATGCACCATGGGAAATAAAAACATACATGTATACTGATAATATCAAAGAACTATCCGTCAAAATAAGCAAATCAACACTACTTGATATGCACATTTCCGGTGCTTATCACAACAGATAACAGTGCTGAAGAAAAAAAAAACTCCTTTGAACACTAAATATACTGCGATAACCCAACGACAAACAACTAACCCATATCTATGATTGGCAGCACTATCTCTCTATATCGGTAATGGCAAGGTTTCCTAATTTACTGATACTATACCATAACATTTAAACAGAAACAAACGATTGTTTGTTGAATTCCAAAACTCAATGGGTCTTATTTAGAAACTAAAACTAACAACACCACCTGGTCAGTTTGGGTTTAAGTCTAGAATGATTAGGTCGTGATGATGTAATGAGAAATAATTCATAATAAACTACAGTATTAGTCAATAACTATAGACTTACAATAAAAGCACATAATATAAGCCAAAATGTACATTTGGGTCAATGCATGTCATTTTTAATCTTTTGATTTCAATACAGTGACAGAATGTCAGTCTGTAATGGCACAGTGTTGCAGTGACAGAACGTGAAAGAACATCACTCTGTAATTAATTAATTTAATTTTAGCCAACAGTATGTCACTTTTTTGTTCACTGTCAATCTAAAAAAAAATTAAAAAATATATTGTATGCAAAAACTGATGATTTAACATCAGTTACGACAGTATACTAAAACTGTTGTAATATTTCTTGGTAACAACAAATACCTTGGAAAGTATATATCGAATTAAACTGAACACAAACTAGGAAACAACAAATATTTCCTTGCCATAGAAAGTAAAACTTGACATTGTTACACAGTAATTACAATTAATACAATAACCCAATATTTGTTTATAACCATCTTCATTGTTACATAAAAAGCCACATGTGTGAAAAACCCCAATTTTTAATGAATGGTAACAATACATATATCCATGATAATTACATGTCAAATTGTGATCAAATTAATTTGTAACTAACATTTTATAATTAACATTTGTTATTAAGCTATCTACCAAGTAGATTCATTTATTTATCAAAAAAATCTGTTAGACTTGTTTTAATCTTTTGGTTTATTAAATTTTCAACAAAGACGGGAGCTAAGTTTGAATGATGACATCATCACTGTTGATTGGCAGATATAGTCAAGTGGGTAAATAAGATATCTACTATAAATAGCTTGTTCAATTTAAGATTGACAAGCCATGTCAAAACTTGTCATCATGATATGGTACCTCATAGTTTAAACAATGTTTTTTTTTACTATAATTCAAGACATGTTTCTATACATGTAGAAACAAACAAAACAAAATTTACTTTTTATGATCACTTTTTCTATTTTTTTATTTCTATTATATTTAGGAGAAGTTTAAGCCACAAAGTTTTTTCCACAGGCTAGAACTAAAATGTTAATCATTAGTTCAGAAGCAGCCAGGGTGTGGCAGTGCTGGTTTGTTTTGATGATAAACTACAAGAGACAAGATAAGTAAGATGACACTGATTACTTTGAGTTCCCTGAGATCACAGGCATTTGACATAAAATAGGGATGAATACATTACAACAATTTTCTGTTTCTTCAGTTTCATAAGTGCCAATTATTAACTATTTTGACAAATTGTCAAGTTTTTCTCTAGCGTGAAATATTTATTTGGAGAAAAACTGCCTAAAATTTCATAAAAAACTATGTTAAAGCATTACTTCATCAAAAAACAGTAATCGTCAAACTATCCAAATAATTTATGACACCCATAAGTACCCATCTTATAACTACATACGTCTTTTCACCATAACAAACACAATTTTGAAATATGATGAGAACCTTTTACCATAGACACCAATATTAAATTGTGCAAAATCACTCGTTTATGGATATTTTTGGTGACAATATATTATTATTTGGGTTCATGAACAACAAGAAAACACACAACCATAGCGTCAATGTCAAGGAAATCCTATGATTTGATTTAATGGTAGACAACTATGTCAGGTTTGAAATTACAACTTATAGTTGGAATATGATATGTGTATTCAGCTGAAACATACCTGTGATCTCTGAGATGGTCTTGTCTACGGAAAGCTTTATGACAGATATCACATGTGTATGGACGTTCATCAGTATGGGTGCGTTCATGAATCAGCAGATTGTAAGACTTTGTAAAGTGTCTACCACAGTATTTACAGATAAACTCCTTCTTAGCTCTGGTAGGACCTCTTCCCCTCTTTCTTTCCCCCTGTGGTGGCGTTGGTTGAACCGGTGCAAACCCAGTCTTGAATGTGTTATAATTGCTGTAGTTACTTCTCTCAGGTGGGTAACTCTGGGTTGCAGCAAGTGCCAAGTTTGCGAAGTCAAATTTGGGTTTGGTCGGTGGCTGAGGGGCTGCCACTAAGGGTGTCAGGTGTGTGTAGTCAGGATTGTGCACTGGTACATCTGGTGCTGTATGAGGTGGGATGATTGTTGGATACGATGGATATGAGTGATGATTCCACGAATGTGTCAGCGAGTTCATTGGGTACAGCGATGTGTGATCAACAGGCGGTTGCCAACTGACTGAGTTAGGTAAATAAGTGGCAGGTGTCAGACTACTAGGCAGGCAAAGTTGGTTTGACAGTTGCTGCTGATATTGTTGCTGACTGGTTGGAGTTAGTGGTGGTGTTGGAGGTCCTGTGGGTTTCAATCCTTTCTTTTGAAAATCAGCTGTGAATGCAAAGATCAAAGAAATTTTTTTTAATTATATATAGTTTGGGTTTTGAGATTTGTAGAGAATTATATTTGAGTGACCACGCCAATCACTTACATCTTTCACACACATTAGTCTTCCAGTTTTGAAGAGATTTTATATCTATGTTTCTGTTTTTTCAAAATGGGTCCATAATTTTTTAACTTTCAAATTTTCAATAAAAACATGGTTAGATAAAGTGATGTAATTCTATATAACAAATTGGCCACAAACTGGGGGGAGGGGGCAGGGGGCAGGGATTATCACTCACATCACTATCAGTAGAGCCATTTCTAGATCACCAGAGATTTTCAAGGGACAAAGACTGCAATTGAAACTGTAATCAAACTATTATAAATTTTACCTTCAAAGATTACCACTCCCCTAAATCATTTTTTTTTTCAATTCACAGTCAAGTTCAATCAACAGTACTTGTGTGTGCCAGTACCAGGTGTTTGTATCACTAAATTTACAAAAGAATAAAAAACCAACATTTTTAAGGTCATCAAACACACTCATACTTAACCTAGTGTTCAATTGACTTATACTTTCACCCAGTTTTCACTCACTACTGAAACCAATAACAGTATTTATTACTTTAATTCCCTCATATGAATCTGATAAGAGTCTAAAATACCTTGGAATATGTTTATTCCAAGTCTTACGCTTTTTTCAAATTGTTCACCCCTGTCAAGCCCTAGAAATGCAGACAATATGCTGCAAGGCATCGATAAGCACAGATAACTTGACGGGTTTAGAGGACAGTGCATGCATTGTTTTCACTCTTTTTATGCACACATTTTACTACCATACTGCCTAAACACCAGTAGTAGAAATGTGAAGTAGGTGAACCAGGTGAAACCCCAGACGATTTAAGGTAGCACGGTTTTGACAGTAATTTGCATCATTCTTCATGGAGGTGACAAAAAGTCAAGTGTTGAGAACAAAGAGAATTTAGTTGATGAAAAATGACCTTTTGAGAACGTGATGAATGAATAGTATATCACGGAATGGTGTGTATTGACACGACAAAACCATCAAGAAGGCATTAAAAGCAATTTCTGTTCAAAAGTTTAGTAGACACAACAGTGATTACTGTATAAGTTGATATGTCAGAAAAACAAAACTTGCACACCATTCTTCCTTATTCACAAAGTGGAAGTTGTCAGGAAACATCAGAGCATTCCTTTTTCTACCAATCAAATCTTGATTCTCAAGAATATCTTTGTATGTTTTAATCTCTATATAGATAATTGAATTCAGTTTCTTTTTATAAGAATGTAAACTAATGTTCTCAGGCAGATATCTTTGTGAAACATAAATTACAAATTTAAGAATCATGGTACATATACTGTAGCAATGTCATGTGGACATTAAACCTGTGAGAAAGAAACTGTCCACACCCAAAACCATGAGAGTTTTTTTCTACAAACTTTGCGCCAAATCATTCATTGTGTCACCTTAGCAGGCTTCATTAGTGAAATTTACATTAGACATCAGGACACCGGCCGTACGTGTCACATTATTGGAACAAAATGGATGAAGTCTGTCCATCAATGTCAGTCAGAGACAGTCAATTTAGTTGGTTTTTTACTTGCTTTCTACTTTACTCCTATTGGTTGTCATCTCTAACAGTGGCAGTTCACTTGTAGCATAATTGCGGTGCTATTAATCATCAATCAAAACTTTGGTACCGGGGTATACTGCGATATATTGCCGTCACATCTAATCTGAAACCATTCAGTTTACAGACACATTTTGCACCAAGAATCCTTGGTACAGTGTCATTATTGAGAAAGAGTCTGACAACGATGGCGTCTACGTACGTGAGAATATCGGCATATGGGTATTATGCGACAACAGCAAGATAAATGTGTTTTTTAGCCTATCAGAAAAATACTGCTGTTGCAGTTTATCACTTCATGATTCATGACATGGCTTACGCATTTCTTAATTTAAGACATTTGAACAGAATAAAGAATGAACTAAATACGTTATTGTAAAATACTGTATTTTCGCTTAGAATTAATTTTCGTTATTTTCGCTGGAGGAATGATTCAGTGGTAAATAAAATCCAGCAAACATACTTTTTTTTTCATGTTTGACAATTTAAACTTGTCAAACACCAGTGAAAATAAACTCCAGACAAAACACCAAAAAGTCTTTTCAGCAAAAATTAATTCCTGCTAAAATAAAGTATTTTACAGTAGTAGAAATTAGAATAGCTATGAAAATGGTTTATTTCAGTAATCTTGCATAATTAGATCTTATTTGACATTTATATCTGAAATGGTGTACAGCACATTAATATATTGCACTATTCCATTTAGCTTGAAACTTAAATTTTTGCTTTTTCCATGACCTGAGAGAAAACGTCAAAATATCAATGTCAAATAAAAAACCTATCGGTAATTACTTTAGTTTGGGAGTAGGGGTGGTGGTGATCATAAAACATTTCTATTCAACAAATTTGAGACCTTGCATATAACATGATAGACCTTAGTGTTAAAAACTCTTTTTTTAAAAATCTAAATAGATCTAAAGTTGTTTATATTCAAAAATATTGTTTGTTTTAATATTTGACATGCACACACTGATAAGCCAATTATGAAATCTGTTTATTATAAAAACATGTTGCAGCATTCCTGAAAAGTTTTAGGTGTAGGGGTGGCAGTAAAAAATTAAAGAATTTTATTTTTTTATCTTACATTGATCTTTTGATGTTTTCCATAATTTGGTTGTGATTTGGTGTATGCAAATTAACTGTACAAATTAAAACAAAATTATGCAAATTATCTTAGCCCCAAGTGAAAACATCTGAAATCTCATTTATAATCTTTTGTAAAAACTACTTTTGTGAAAAAAAAAAACTCAATCAAGGACTAAACCCAATCTTTGTGCAAACACACGAACTGAAATGATTCACGACTACTGTTCCATAAATCACTCTTTCAGTTTATAATAACAGAATTGTCGCTTCCTGACAAGCAGCTTGCCTCATGATATATTTTCACTGAGTAGCTGTACTTCAGACACACGATTAATTTGTGGTTTTCTTGCTACCTGACTTGTGCACTCAAAGGTCAAATGTGTTTTTTCGTTCCTCAGAAATGAACAACTGGTATAGAAACTGTCTTCTGTAATCATTATGTTTAAAGCCATCATTTTCCCACCAAAAAATGTTGATAGATTTTGCACATTTTAAGCTATTTTTCTTTTTTAAATTTTAACAGATCTTGCTCAAAAATTTGGAAACTACATTTACTATGAAGATTTATATACATGTATATGTATGAAAGGAGCAATATCACAATCCAAAAATACTAGTAGTATAGTCCAATGTTGCTGTTCTTATTATATATTTTTACTTAATACATTACTAATGTTTTCAATATTTCAACTTCATTGATGTTCATAACCAAAAATGAAATGTAATATCTCTTTAGTTAGCAATAAGGTCTATTCTATTCTATTCTATTGTGAAACGTACAATAAATGATATTTATTCAATGGTCAAAGAGCAATTTTGCAAAAATGATTTACTTTATGACAGAAAATTTTAAAAATATCATCAGCCACAGTTTTTTTTTCTGCTCTCAGTCAAAATACCAAAATGATGAGTAAAAAAAGGCATGATATGATGTCATATAATAACCAATACAAGGTTTTACTGATGTGATGTCATATAATAACCAATACAAGGTTTTACTGATGTGATGTCATATAATAACCAATACAAGGTTTTACTGATGTGATGTCATATAATAACCAATACAAGGTTTTACTGATGTGATGTCATATAATAACCAATACAAGGTTTTACTGATGTGATGTCATATAATAACCAATACAAGGTTTTACTGATGTGATGTCATATAATAACCAATACAAGGTTTTACTGATGTGATGTCATATAATAACCAATACAAGGTTTTACTGATGTGATGTCATATAATAACCAATACAAGGTTTTACTGATGTGATGTCATATAATAACCAATACAAGGTTTTACTGATGTGATGTCATATAATAACCAATACAAGGTTTTACTGATGTGATGTCATATAATAACCAATACAAGGTTTTACTGATGTGATGTCATATAATAACCAATACAAGGTTTTACTGATGTGATGTCATATAATAACCAATACAAGGTTTTACTGATGTGATGTCATATAATAACCAATACAAGGTTTTACTGATGTGATGGTACTCATTGTTTCTGTCACGAACACGGTATGTACAGTGACTGCACAGTGACTTGACACACATAGTAAATGCAATACTTCATACTTGATGACAGAAACCTTCATACTTTACATACACTGTATCCATAGAATTGGCAAAATGCAGTTATATTTCACTATGATTTTTTTGTTATTTTTTTTTAAATATGAAATTGAAAAGTCTTAAATTTGGTCTCAGATAATAATACCATAGAGCCTACCCAAAGCACTTGTATATACCTCTGCTTTGCCAACAGAAAAATGTATATATAAATTCAACTAAATGCATAGTACTGTTCATATTTTTCTGTTTCAATTCATTGAGAATACCATACCTCGTAAAAAATCTATGACACAGAATATATGAATTAATCCGGGACCATCTGTACACACAGGACACATTTAATAACACGACATAAGGACTAATTGAGACCACAGTAAGAATATTTGACATACTATTATAAAGCACACAAAATCAATTTATAATACTATATTGCATCTTCTTAGAGGTCATAGGTCAATTAATTGTGACCAGTACAGATGAGTCTAACTATAAGAGAATATTGCAGTCACATAATACAGTATTCAGTATATATACTTGTACTAAACTAAACAGACAAGTAGGACCTCTAACAACAAATATGGGAGATTTGGCAAGTGTTGTTTACATGTTTACATTAGGTTCAAAATATAGGCAGTAGGTAAAAGGTCATGAGAAGTGTGCCTTGTAGGGATATTTGCAAATGGA